TACCATGTGTGTTTTTCTGCTTCTGGGATACCTCACTCAGGATGATCTTTTCTAGTTCCCACCATTTGCCTGCAAATTTCATGATTTCCTTGTTTTTATTTACTGAGTAGTATTCCATTGTGTAAATGTACCACAATTTCTGTATCCATTCCTCCATTGAGGGACATCTGGGTTGTTTCCAGATTCTGGCTATTATAAATAACGCTGCTATGAGCATGGTTGAGCAAATGTTCTTGTTGTATACTTGAGTGTATTTTGAACATATGCCTAAGAGTGGTATATAGCTGGATCTTGAGATAGCACTATTCCTGATTGTCTGAGAAAGCACAAGATTTATTTTCAAAGTAGTTGTACAAATTTACACTCCCACCAGCAATGGAGGATATTAGACATATAATATAGGATAATCATACTACAATCTGTACACCTACAGAAGCTAAGCAAGAAGGAGGACCCTGGGTAAAATGTTCAAGCCTCATTCAGAAAGGCAAATGAGATGGACATCAGAAGAGGGAGAAAACAGGACAAGAGTCTACCACAGAGGACCTCTGAAAGACTCTACCCAGCAGGGTATTAAAGCAGTTGCTGAGACTCCTAGCCAAACTTTGGGCAGAGTGCAGGGAATCTTATGAAAGAAGGGGGAGATAAAAGACCTGGAGGGAACAGGAGCTCCACAAGGAGAGCAACAGAACCAAAAAATCTAGGCCCGGGGGTCTTTTCTGAGACTGATACTCTAACCAAGGACCATGCATGGAGAGAGCCTAGAACCCCTGCTCAGATGTAGCCCATAGCAACTCAGTCTCCAAGTGGGTTTCCTAGTACTGGGAACAGGGACTGTCTCTGACGTGAACTGATTGGCCTGCTCTTTGATCATCTCCCCCTGATGGGGAGCAGCCTTACCAGGCCACAGAAGATGACAATGCAGCCAGTCCTGCTGATGAGACCTGATAGGCTAGGGTCAGAGGGAAGGAGAGGAAGATTTCCCCGATCAGTGGACTTGGGAAGGGAAATGGGTGGAAAAGGGGGCAGGAGAGTGGGATTGGGAGGGGAGGGAAAGGGAGCTACAGAGGGGATACAGAGTGAATAAACTAATTAATAATAATAAAAAAGAACTTGCTGTCCAGGTGTAAGGACCAGATCTAAAACCCATGGGGGAGGTCGGGTGGCTACCCAGCGGTAATTCAGCACTAAGAGAGAGGAGAAAAGATACTCCCAAAAAAGCTGGCCAGGGTGCTGCGTGCGTTTAATTACGAGGCCTCACCTCAGTGAGTAAAGTGGAGTGCAGTGAAGGAAGATTCCTGACATCAGCCTTGGGCCTCTGTAAACAAGCACACACAGGTTCACACGCACATACATGCGTCCATATACATGCAAACATGCACATATACATAACACACATATATACATGCAACAAACAGACAAACAAAAATATTGCTATCTCCCTGGCCAGGAGAGATGGTCACTGGGTAAAACAATTGCTGTACAAACAAGAGTAGCTGAGGTCATGTCTCTGGAACCCATGTGAATGTCACCATGCCTGTAATCCCAGCGCTAGAAAGGCGGAGACAGGATGGTTTTAGGGCTTGCTGGCCAACCAGTCTAGCTGAACCAGTGGACTGCAGATGTGTGAGAGAACTGTAGCAGGAATGAGAAGGAGAGCAGTCAAGATGCCCGGTATATGCACATGTGTGCGCACGCACACACATACGTACACAAAACACAGATAAAATTAAAAGGCTGTCAGATTTTATGTGAAGTCGTGTGGAGTACTGCGGTGCCGTACTGTCTGTCATCCCCACATCCTATGAACAGGCCCTTCCTGTCATCATCCCACGGGCTGCAGTAACACTAAGGCTGAGCCTCAGCCACACTCGGGCATCTGAGAGGCAAGTCCACCTGGGCAGGAGGACTCTACGGCTGCCTTCATCACAGCTGCCAAGGGTCCATGCTGCTCCATACAGAGGCGCTCACTTGTTTATATCCTTCTTATTTTGACTTTCCCTCATGCCATAAACGCTTCCCAGGCTTGACACTGATTCCCTATTTTAATAGCTATGTAACAGTTTTCTGTGCCTCGGAAGCTAGACTTTTTTTTTTTTCCATAGTTTCTGTATGTGCAGTTTGGAAGACAGGTTTGAAGAAAGTATTCGAGAAAATCTTTTGAGTATCATAATCATATCAAAGTTATGCCCTTTGCTGCTCTTTCCTCAAGGGCTTCCCTAAAAGGCTTTGCTAATTGCAGACAGCACAGAGGGGATGATGGAAATGGACTTGTTCACTGCAGCCAGCAATGGATGCCAGCTTGCTGTGTCTGCCACTGGAGTGCATATAAGCTATCACTGTAAACTGCTGTCATTTTCCTGTGCCTCACGACTGCCTAACTTGTCCTGTGAATACTACTTCTCTTATCGCCTTCTTAAGCTTGAATTTTTAATACTTCTTGTTTATGCTTATGTATATGTGTGTGCATAAGCATGCAAACACCCACAGAGGAAAGAAGAGGACATCAGATACCCTCAAGCTGGGATACAGGCTGTTGTGTTCACCCCAACAATTTGGTGATGGGAAATTTTTTTTAAGTTCAGGTCCTTGCAGAAGCATCAAGAGCTCTTAATCACCGAGCCATCTCTTCTGTACTTCAAGTTTGAGATTTTATTTATTTCTTTTGCTTTTGTCCCACACTCTCCTCCCATAGGACCTGTGAGTAAAGCCTCCCTCCCGCTGATATTTAGAGTGTCTGACTTAGATTCTTTAGTAGAGAAGAGAACCCCTCTTCTCTATGGGTTATAATCCTCCAATATTAATCCCTTTATTTTTTTCACAGAATCTTCTCAATTAGGTTCTTTTTCTGGCCTTTTCCTCATTTCTCTTTTTGGGAGGTCTCTAATACTCCTCTCTGTTCCTATCAGTGTCTAGCTAATCACGTCTTTACTCCTTGGCCAACTCTGATCCCCTCTCTACCCCTCCACCACCTTCCATGGCCATCATTAGCAATTATCAGTGGTTTTCCTCAGATATAATTGTTCTCCCTAATCCTATCTACTGGTAAACACTTCTGAAGGCTCTCAGGGACTCCATCCTTCTATAGCAGTTAGGAACCAGTGTGCCACCATCATCATTTCCTCCCTTTGAATTATGTATTTATATGTAAACATATTGATCTACAGATAGATGATAGACAATCTTCCCCACACCATAACCAATAATTCAGTTCCACCCATTTTTTTTTCTGAAATACACATAGAAATCAAAGTATAATTGCCACAAACGACTACTAATAAGAAGAGGTCCATGCTGCACACAGGATACAATTTCACTTTGTTTTATTTAAAATTTTCTTTTTATTTTATGTGTTTGAGTAGTTTGCACACATGTATGTGTGTGTGTGTATGTATGTATGTATGTATGTATGTATGTGCACCACATCTGTGCAATGCCCACAGAAGCCAGAAGGGGGCATCATACTCTGGCACTGGAGTTACATTTGTGAGATACTATGTTGGTTCTGGGAACTGAATTCATGTGCTCTACAAGAGCAGCAAGTGCTCTTAATTACTAAGTTCTAACAGATACAGTCTTATACATCTCTAAAATTCTGTGTCCCTTCCCGTGTCTACAGGAACCTTCCCTGGGGTGACTTCACATAACAACTTCAAGGGCATATACAATAATCGGTCAGAAAATCTTCCTCCTGAGCATTCTGCTTTTCTGGCCATCCCTTCCTTCCTTCTTTCATAATTTTATTCCCAAGAAAGGAATGTTCTCCTCCACAGGGTTCCGCAGTGACTTCTGACCGTGGAACCTCTCTCCCAGTCTCATAGTGAGGCCAGAACTACAGCGGTCCTACCGAAGATGTTAGAATTCTCGTGGGGGGGGTGTGTGTGGGGTTGTGCATGTGCGCACAGATGGAAGCTAGAGGTGTGTGTCTTGGTGTCTTCCTCAGGTACTTTCCTGAGAGCTCACAGATCCAGCTAGGCTAGTTACCCAGCTTACCTAGAGGACCCCAGCTCTGTCTCCCAGATGCTGGGATGGCAGGTAGGCATCCATTCTTGGTCATTTTAGGGTTAGTCTGTTTTCAACTACAAGTTAAAACTAGAGACAGAACTTACAAGAAGCATTTTCTGTCTTGTGCCTGATGTACTCCTAACTCGTTGTGATGAGAAACACTTTCTTTGCAAAGCTCCTGAAATGAATCTGACTACCAATACCCAGAAAGAGAGGGTTTATGAGTGAAAGTCAGGAGTACATGAATGGCCTTTGCTAAAACCTGCACATATTCTGTTTGGCTCATCCACAGTGCTTGATTTCAGTACTATAATGAATACCAGATTAAGGGCAAGAGATAATATATGAGACAAGAAGATTCTAATTTCCCAGTCAGAACCAAATCTTGTAGCAGTGGCCATGAAGATTATGCAAATAATTTAATGTAACCTTTAAACATCGTGTGGGATTCCAGACACGAAGAAACATAAGCCACAGCCATTGTCAAATGATTTCTGAAATATTTCCAGCAGGGAGAAGAGCGAAAAGCCTGACTTAATAACATCCTGAAATCTTGTGAGGTATTTATAGCCAAAGCGTAGATACAATTGGCCCATCCTTAAATTCATTCCTAGTCAACAAATCCTGCTAGAGCTCTGAAGAACAGAGAAATTAAAGCATGGTTTGCCTGGGACCATTTTCCCCAGTGCACCTCATCTTTATATAGGAAATCAATTTGTATCATTGATAATATCATTCAAATCAGGCCAACCCGATGTTGTTAGAAGGCAATTTAGTTTTCTGTTGAAGCAATTTGATACTTGTCCTGATTTGTGATTTTCATTTTGTTTGTTAATGAAAAAATTAATGAGCAATGTTAGCAGAAATACAACCCATCAAAGCACTGACACCATCCTGTGGGCTGGCCGCCGGCTGCACGCCATCACTCAGTGGTGGAGGTGCCATCGACCAAAGGGTACAGACAAGCACTTGGGGTAGGGGAAGTTCACACCTACCTTTGCATTGATTCGTATTCTTGTCAAGAATTGCCTTTGTGGATACAATTTTCCCATACCTGCGAGAAAGAGAGAGAAAGAGAGAGAGAGAGAGAGAGAACAAAGCTCTATGTTACTGAAACCCAGTGAAGACACTCACATGACCTTCATGAACATTGGGGCACACACTCTCGAGCAGGGGTCACCTGGCAGGGTGAGCTCCATTCTCACACCAGGTGGAGCTATCTTGCTAACCCGGGACTCCATTTCTGTAGATAAGCTCTGGGCTGTGCCCAGGGGAATACCCCCATCGGGCTGGCACAGGTGTCCAAAAGAGGGAACCAAAGTTCAAAGCCACCCATGGTAAAGTGTGAGCCTCACCCCTAGGCTAGGATTTGTGTCCCATTTTCACTCAGCCGTCTGCTGTCATCTTGATCCCTTTAGCCCAATGCCTCCTAGCCTCCACGTTTTCCTCTGTAATACGACAAAGTTGCAGGCTGGGGGTTTAGTTCCACTGGAGAGGGTATTTGCTTGGCATGGAAAGAGCCTTAGATTTGGTCCCCAGCAACCCATTAACCAGATATGCTGATGCCCTTCTGCAGTCTCAGCAGATGAGAGGTGGAAGCAGAGGGATTAAGCATTCAGGATCATCTTGGACATTCAGGGAATTCAAGGTCAGCCTTGAATTAAAAATAACAACAACAACAATAACAATAATATAATGTATATGTATCAATTCAGCTTTATGTTCAGGGGAGGTCCAGCAGAAAGCCGAAGTCTAGCTAAATGAATAACCTATATGCATCACTTGCTTTGGCTCAAATCTCAGCTCCACCTGGGTCTGTTTGCCTGGTGAAGCCATCTGAGTTCATGGCATCTTTTCAGCTTGCATTCTGATCTTGATAGCCATATTTTAGTAATGACTTGAGGGCTGTGTGGACAGCACAGTGGTTGAGGGCACTGGCTGCTCTTGCAGAGAAGATCATGGTTTGAGACCAACACCCATGTGGCGTCTCACAAACCCCTTTAACTCCAGCCCCGAGGATCCTACCCCCTCTTCGGGGGCACGTGCGGTGCACAGACAATGCACACAGGTGAAACACTTGTTTACACTGTCTCCCTTGCGCGGTTGTTCTGGGGGCCGATGAGTTTTCCCGGAGTGCCAAGGGCACTGTGAGAAACAGAGTAGCTGCCTCTACAGTAGTCATTCTTCACATTGCTCTCCCAAGTGTCTTCCATAGAGGACCAATCCCTGAAGTTTTCAGTTGTCAATGAGAACGGGCTGCACAGACTCCTTAACCTGGCAGGCACAAAGCCCTGGGTTCGATCCCCAGAACTGCCTTGCATAAGCTAGATGAGGTGGTGCATATCTGTCACACCAAGTGTTGGCAGGAGAATTACAAGTTCAGGACACCCTTAATAATGCAAGAAACCTGAGGCTCTCCTGTGCATGCTGGGCTACCATTCTGCCATTGCTACCTATGCAGCCTTCATTTTTATTCTCTACTTTCTTTAAAACAATTGTTTTCATATTATACATTTTGATCATATTCGTTTTCCTCCACTGCACCTGTTCCCATAATATATCTATTTCATCTTCAAGTTTTCTGTCTGGGGATATTTTGCGGGGGAGCACAAAGGTCCTTATGTTCACAGAAAGCACTAGGGGATCCAGGAATGTTAAACATGCAGAGTTGTCTTTTCAAAGGAAAAGATATATAACCCATCCACCCTAAAGGCTGGCATGGGAGGTGGCTAGGAATCTACGTAACACTTTCACTCTCTGTGGGGCCTGTCTATACAAAGTTCCCACGGCAAGACTGCAGATACTAAAGACTCTAGGTTGCCTTTCACTATCTGTATGGCCACCCCAACTCCTTGCTCCCCAAACTCCTACAGCTATGACTGGAGATGGCTAACAGCCCAGATGACCTATGCAGCGTCTGTATGACGGAGACCACACCAGATTCTTCGCCAGGCCCTTAAGGTAACATGTGGAGCCTATCTTTAAAGCCCATCCTCACAGAGGAAGTATTTTAAGAAAATGTTTGATGTAATTAGGCCTCCTGTGTCACACTAGGAAGTTTTTCAAGTCTTCACTGTACTTAAATATACCTAAAACAAACTGCCTGTGTCAAACTTTCAAAGCTGGAACCCAGCACCAGCTACTGAGTCATGCTGAACTGGTTTCCTTCTTGCCTGCCTCATTCGGATTGTTAGGCGGCCAGCCCTGGTGTTTGCAGAGATCCTCACAGAAAATGGCCAGTGAAATATACTATCATACTTTAATGCTATCTTCAGAGGAGAGAGTTTCAGGAGTCCTATCAGCTCCCCAGACGGGTGCTCCCTAGATACATGTGCTATCAGCTACCCAGATGGGTGCTCACTAGAGACAAGTTACGGATGCTCACTAAGTACTGGCTGCTCAGGCAAACAGGTACTTGGAAAAATGTTTGTGATGAGTTAAAAAAAAAGAAAGAGGAGAGGAAGAGGAAGAAAAGGAAAGGCAATAAAAATGTAATTTTGATGAAAAGTAATAGTAACACAGTATGTAAGAGATTAAAAGAAGGAAAAAGGGAGGGAAGGAGAGAAAGACACAGACACACACACACAGGGAGCTCAAACATTTAAAACTAATGTGCAACAGAGACAGAACCCTTAAGATAAAAATTCTCCTTAATTAGTTTCTTTTTTTTTAAGAAGTTTAAAAAATATACCATCTGATTATCTCTTTATGATTTTGTACCTTTATTTATTTTTATTATACAAATATTTTGTCTGCAGGTGTGTCTGTTCTCCAGGTGTGTGCATGGTCGGGGTGGAGGTCAAAGGAGGGCATCAGACCCCCCTGGAACAGGTGGCTGTGAGCCACTGAGTGTGTGCTGGAACCAAGCCTGGATCCTGTCTCTACAAGAGCAGCCAGTGCTCTTAGCCCCTGAACCGTCTCGCTCACCCCGCTTAGCTGGTTTCTTAAGATAGTTCTACAATATCCTTTTTCCAGAAGTACCTTCAAATTTTAAATCTAGTGAAGACACGATTAGAAATGAGTGCACCTCCCACTGACTCACATCTAACCACAGCACACTTAGACTGCCGCATACTGTGTTGATAGCGCTGGATGCCTGTGACAGCCAGTCTGTGTGTGTGTGGATGCCTGTGACAGCCAGTCTGTGTGTGTGTGTGCACGTGCATACATGTGTCTGTCTCTGTCTCTCTCTCTCTCTCTCTCTGTTTTTCTTTAATGTCCTTGCTCTGTCTAAGAAAAATGTAAAGCACACTTGTTCTTGACCATACATTCTAGTTACACCCCCAGGCGCAGCTTTCCAGTGCAACAGAAGCCAGAAACAGCAGAACCTGGATGCTTCCCAAGTCACATCCATATGGACAGGCATGTGCCCACACACGCGTGTATACACACAAACACCCACATACGCACACATAGCAGGGTTGCAAGAATGTCATTCCTGGGCTCAGAGATAAGGCACTGCATTAACAATTACATCACCGAGTTTTCTGGGAAACACCTGAGACAGTATTCACTGGGTGCTGGTCAGAGTTCACATCTGACTGCTTGTATTGACAAGCAGGTCCTTTCTGCATGGCTGCTGTGGTTATTCTCCACAGAGTCAACAACTGTTATATGCAGTAGAGTTGAGGCCAGTTTCAAGTTCTTCTTTTCCGCCTGCGTTGAGGACATGGTGGAAGGCTGCCCTGGGCCTGCTGGGCCAGCACTCTACCTGGAAGCTATATCATCAGACTCCATGCTACTTCTCTAAAGGCCCAAGCCACTTTAAGCACACCCACTCTCCTGCCCACAAACACACACACACACACACACACACACACACACACACACACACACACCAGTAGATAGATGAAAAACTATGTCTTTTGACATGTTTTAAGCTCAAGGCTAACTGTAAACTTACCTCCTCTTCTTAAGGTGTAGATCAAGATTTAAGTCTCTGCAAAGATTTTCTGCAGCTCTGCCACCCGCAAGTGGAAGACAAAACCTGACCTTAGATGATGTGGCCACGTCACTAAGTAAAGCCTGGAAAAAGACAGCGGAAGAGGGTCCCACGAGCCTGCCGGCTCCAGGAGCTCTCCGGCAAATCCAATTCCCTTCTCCATCCCTTCATTTCCTACAGCAAGAGGAGATAAAATAGCGTCCACCCCGGGCTTCTGCAGGGGGCTTAAACTCTTGGTGGAAATAAATAAACGGAGCCAGAGAAGCTTAGAGTGTAATCCTTTCCGTGTGGCCTTCCCTGCAGCCTGTGTCGATGGTCCCCTAACAGCCCTGCAGGGACGCACTCTGGAATCAACGTGAACCACTCCACCTTGTGCGTACCTGTTTACCGACTACTGACGCGGCTGTGAGGTGCCCAGTTCAGCCAGGCTTCACACACCACTTTCCTTACCTTCTGGGGCCTCTTAAAGCAGGAGCCAGCAGCACTGGAGGGATGGCTGGGCAGTACAGAGTATACACTGCTCTCGAAGAGGACCCAACCTCGGTCTTCAGCACCTAGGTTGGGCAACTCAAAACCTCCTGCAACTCTGGCCTCACAGAGAACCTACATCTCTGGACTCTTTGGGCACCTGCACTCATGTACACATAGCCCCACACAGACACACCTAATTCAAGATAAAATTCCTGTGTTGACTACTGTCTTCCTAAACTCATTTTACACTAACGTCTGAATACACACACTTAATTTGTAAAGGGAACACCCAGTTCTTCTCTGGCATTTATCCTTTGTCTTACACTGCATCTACCTCAGCCTATATTTGTTGACACACTTCATTGTTTCGCACACAAGCCTAATTTAAACTAAAGGTTTCTTATTTGCCAAAGTTGAAGGGAAAATAACTGCTATTATGGGTTGGCTCTTCATACATTATTAAGACATCAAATTGGTAGGATGTTTCTACAGAGAATTTATTTTTGAATCCCTCACCATATCACCCACTGTGTATATTAATTCCAAAAAAAAAAAAAAAAAAAAAACAGGCAAGAGACTAAAGATAGAGTCTCCGCAGTCAATTAACTCCCGGCTAACTCATTTTTCACATGCCTTCTGTA